TACATTCCTAATCCACCATGAAAGTATACATTCCTTATCCACCATGAAAGTATACATTCCTAATCTGTCACGTCAAAAGGTAACATCATAACCAAGTGTGTGATGTGCCATAAACAGCTCCTCTGATTCCTAACAATTCCCATTCGTATTCCTAACAATTCCAATTCGTATTCCTAACAATTCCCATTCGTATTCCTAACAATTCCCATTCGTATTCTAACAATTCCCATTCACATTCCTAACAATTCCACATTCGTATTCCTAACAATTCCATTCCATTCCTAACAATTCACATTCATATTCCTAACAATTCCCATTCCATTCCTAACAATTCACATTCGTATTCCTAACAATTCCGATTCATATTCTAACAATTCACATTGATATTCCTAACAATTCACATTGATATTCCTAACAATTCCCATTCCCATTCCTAACAATTCCCATTCGTATTCCTAACAATTCCCATTCACAATTCTAACAATTCCATTCATATTCCTAACAATTCCCATTCATATTCCTAACAATTCACATTGATATTCCTAACAATTCCCATTCATATTCCTAACAATTCCCATTCCCATTCCTAACAATTCCCATTCGACGCCTTCAGCAGAAACTCCAGAAGAGCGAGGAGGAAGACATCGCTGGTAACTACTTCAGCCCAAGAAACGAGCCAACGAGCTCTAGTGAGGTTCAGGATGACGGTAACTTAGTGGAGTCTTGTGTCTTTGTTCTCACCTGTTGATTGGGAAGAAGACGGGGTTCCTGTTTGTCTGTCTGTCTCTCTGTCTGTTTTATAGGTTCTGTGGCTACTGGGCCTAATCTCATAACCTAACCTGACCTGATTTATTTAAACCTACTCTGACCTAACCTAACCTAACCTAATCTGACCTGATTTATTTAAACCTACCTGACCTGACCTGACCCTAACCTAACCTACCTAACCTAACCTACCCAAATCTACCTAACTAACCTATCCAAACCTAACAATCTAGTCTAACCTAACCAACCAACCTGACCTGTCCCAATACAACCTAACCTAACCTAACCTAACTAACCTAACCTAACCTAACCCTCAACCTAACCTAACCTAACGCCGCCCCTAACCCAACTAACCTACCTAACCTAACCTAACCTAACCTGCCCTATCTAAACTTTAAAAAATGGGTTCATTTGATGAGGATTTCAACATGGTCAGGTTAGGTGGGGCCCAGTAGGATGTATGGGGCCCAGTAGGATGTATGGGGCCCAGTAGGATGTATGGGGCCTAGTAGGATGTATGGGGCCTATTCGACCTTTATCACTAACGCACGACTTTGGTGTTTGGCTGAGGGTGAGGGGGTGAGGGTTAGGGGTGAGGAGGAGGGGAGGAGGGGTTAGGGGGTAAGGAGAGGGGTGGGGGGGTGGGAGAATTAGGAGGGTGAGGGGAAGGGGAAGGGTACAGAGAAGGAAGTGAGGGGAGAAGAAAGGAAAGAAAGAATAGGAAGTGAGAGGAACGAGGGAGAGAGAGAGAGAGAGAGAGAGAGAGAGAGAGAGAGAGAGAGAGAGAGAGAGAGAGAGAGAGAGAGATTAGAATCACTGTATATATATCAATGTTAGATTTTCTTTTCTATACATATATATAACTTATAGCAATGTTTTTATACCTATATTATATATTTTGCACTGCACTTACTGTAACCCATATGAAGATAAGAGTAGGATTTGTCATAGCTTGTTAGGGAGAATCTGAATAGGGTAATTAAGACTGGATAAGGATAATGGTAGTAGTTTAGATTGGTTGTTATGGTTTGGATTGTAATGATGGTACGGTAGTTTAAGTAGCTCCAATGTGTTAAGTGTGAGGAGTGATGATGGATAGCGGGTAGACGAGGTAGACAGGTAGAGACAGACAGGTAGAGGTTGACAGACAGATATAGAGATGAATCAGCAGAAAAACAATCAGACAGACATTTCGACGTATTAGCAGTGACAGAGGCAAAGAGACAGAGAGACAGGAGACAGACAAGAAGACGGGCAGATAAACAGGCAGAAAGACGCAGAGAGACAGCGAGACAAGAGACACAGATAAACAGAGAGACAGAGACAAGACAGACAGACAGATGAACAGAGACAGAATGAACACACAGACAGATGAAGAGACAGAGAAACAGAGAGCAAGACACACAGATTAACAAAGACAGACAAGATGAACAGAGATAAACAGACAGATAAACAAAGAGACAGAGAGACAAGATAAACACACAGATAAACAAAAGACAGACAGACAGACAAGATGAACAGAGATACAGACAGATACAGACAGACATAGAGAGACAGACATTACCCTCCTCTTATACATAGACCAAGTGAGCTAAACGCCATCCTCCTCACCTCCCTCCCCAGGTAAGGCCACCACTAAGAAGAACAGCACCAGCAACAATGCTCTCAACATGAGCATGAGTCAGAGCATGTGGGGCAACACTCTCAATCTCAACTCCTCCTACAACAACTCCCCAGGATCTAGCTCCTACAACTCTTTCTTGGGGCTCGAACTCCTCCTCCTCCTCGAGTGGAGGAGGAGGGAGGTGGTGAGGCGGAGGGAGGAGGAGGAGGAGGAGGGAGAGGGAGGAGGAGGATCAGGAGGAGTCATAAGTAACGGTTGGTTAGGTAGGTGAAGCACCGTCGCTTGTTGTAGAGCTTCCCTCACTTCTCCCTCACTTCTCCCTCACTTCTCCCCTCACCTCCACGCTAACTCACTTCCTGGCAACATGTACAGCACAAGGGAGTCATTAATCCTGGATCACACTCAATCTAGGCTAATCTACTGTAACATCTATTTAATCCATCTAAATTATCCTACCTCTAACCTAACCTAACATGACCTATTCTAACCATTAACCAACATGTCCTATTCCTAACCTAATCTAACCTTACCTACCTCTAATATAATCTAACCTAACATGACCTATACCTAACCTAACCTAACCTAACGCGTTGTAGTGTGTTTATAAAAGGATGGTCTGGTTGACGGTTGTTCTATACAATAACAATGGAAGGAGCTCAATTGACCTATCGTCCTTAAAGGGTTAATTAAACTATCGTCCTTAAATACTCAATTAAACTATCGTCCTTAAAGACTCAATTAAACTATCGTCCTAAATAACATCTCGTCACTCATAAACTATCGTCCTTAAAGACTCAATTAAACTATCTGGAAGGACAGATTAAGTTGGTTTACTCAATGACTATTTATTTACGAACATTCATATTTATTGTTGTGTGTGTGTGTGTGTGTGTGTGTGTGTGTGTGTGTGTGTGTGTGTAGTTCATTTATTACTTTCTATCTTTAACAACTTTCTCAACGCACAAACTTCGTCCTTAATGACTCTTACCTTTGACCACTTTCTCACAGTAATTTTTCTCCCATAAAGCTAATATTTAACTTTAACTTAACCTCTTATATATAAACAACAACAAAATGCATTAAGAACACCATTTTTTATATATAAACGTTAACCAATAATTAAAGTACGTAATATAGGGTAAAGGATCTAAAGGTATTATAATTACAGGTGTGTACTAATGTGTATACCTGTTCATTAGGTGAAGAACATAATGGTTTACTGATTTACGTGGAGATCAGGTGAATGTTCGTATTACATCAGAAACATTGTCATCACTTGTATGGGAGACCTCGAACAGGAGAGGACAATGTTGATATAATACCATGCCATTACCACGGAACTCTGTAAATGATTGTGTATACTGTTTTGAGACACCCTGTACTGAAGTGCCTCATGTGGATACAAGATTAGAGTTATTGGATGATGTCTGGATGATTGGTCGAATCTTTAGTGAGTTTTGTCAAATAACTGTTGTTCACCTAACGTAATCCAACCCAAGAACATAACCTAACCCAATTTAACTTAACCTAATCTAATTTAATACCAAATAAATAACACATAATCTAACCAAATTTAATTTAATTTAACCAATTGTAACCCAACCCAACCAAAAACTAACCTCACTTAAACTAACCTAACAAACTGACCTAACAATCCATCTCGTTGGTCTGCTGTAGTCCAATCATTCCAATCTGTCGGTTAAATAGCGGCATCGGAGAGAAGAATACCCTTGACATTTAACCATGGCGGCTAGTCAAATAAACCACTGACCTGATAAACCACTGACCTGATAAACCACTGACCTGATAAGCCACTGACCTGATAAACCACGGAATTAATAACCCAACCTAACATACCCTACCCTAATAGGACAGGTGCCTATAAAACCATTGCCTATCAGGACTGGGGCTCGTTTGACCAGCGAGCCATTCAACCCCGTATAAACGACCCGTTTTCGTGCATAAATTAAAACCTCGATAAATTTAATATCACACAGTAAAAACATCGTAGTTTGGTCTACACTTTTAAACTCCATCCCATGTACAGATAAATGATGACCTTTTCCTTATCACACACACACACACACACACACAAACACACACACACACACACACACACACACACACACACACACACACACACACACAGGTGAAGCCTAGATAACGAGATCACCCCAGATACCCCTGAATACTTCCCAGATACCCTGAATACTTCCCAGATACTCCTGAATACTTCCCAGATACCCCTGAATATTTCCCAGATACCCTGAATACTTCCAGATACCCTGAATACTTCCCAGATACCCCTGAATACTTCCCCAGATACCCCTGAATACTTCCCAGATACCCCTGAATACCACCCCCAGATACCCCTGAATACCCCTAGATATCCTACCCATGCATTCTAAAGGGTTCCCCAAGATGACGGGACCACCCCAGATGCCCCAGGCCCCAATGAAGGGATCCTCTGTCCTCCAGGTAACGGGTTCTCCTCCATCTCTGAAATGTCCATGAGGAGACCGACTAGCTGGAGGCCCTACCCACTATAGGTCGACGAAGCAGAAAAAGAGTAAAGATGTTTTCAACAACTGGACCTAATATAGCAGGTAAGTGATGTTATATTAACTGGTGTATAGCAGGGTAAGTGATGTTATATTAACTGGTGTATAGCAGGGTAAGTGATGTTATATTAACTGTGTATAGCAGGGTAAGTGATGTTATATTAACTGGTATAGCAGGGTAAGTGATGTTATATTAACTGGTGTATAGCAGGGTAAGTGATGTTATATTAACTGTGTATAGCAGGTAAGTGATGTTATATTAACTGTGTATAGCAGGGAAGTGATGTTATATTAACTGGTATAGCAGGTAAGTGATGTTATATTAACTGGTGTATAGCAGGGTAAGTGATGTTATATTAACTGGTGTATAGCAGGGTAAGTGATGTTATATTAACTGTGTATAGCAGGTAAGTGATGTTATATTAACTGGTATAGCAGGGTAAGTGATGTTATATTAACTGGTGTATAGCAGGTAAGGATGTTATATTAACTGGTGTATAGCAGGGAAGTGATGTTATATTAACTGGTGTATAGTAAGTGATGTTATATTAACTGGTGTATAGCAGGGTAAGTGATGTTATATTAACTGTGTATAGCAGGGTAAGTGATGTTATATTAACTGTGTATAGCAGGGTAAGTGATGATATATTAACTGGTGTATACAGGGTAAGTGATGTTATATTAACTGGTGTATAGCAGGTAAGTGATGTTATATTAACTGGTGTATAGCAGGGTAAGTGATGTTATATTAACTGTGTATAGCAGGGTAAGTGATGTTATATTAACTGGTGTGCAGGGTAAGTGATGTTATATTAACTGGTGTATAGCGGGTAAGTGATGATATATTAACTGTATAGCAGGGTAAGATGATATATTAACTGTGTATAGAGGAAGTGATGATATATTAACTGTGTATACCAGGTAAGTGATGTTATATTAACTGTGTATAGCAGGGTAAGTGATGTTATATTAACTGTGTATAGCAGGTAAGTGATGTTATATTAACTGGTGTATAGCAGGGTAAGTGATGTTATATTAACTGGTGTATAGCAGGGTAAGTGATGTTATATTAACTGGTGTATAGCGGGGTAAGTGATGTTATATTAACTGGTGTATATGCAGGTAAGTGATGTTATATTAACTGGTGTATAGCAGGGTAAGTGATGTTATATTAACTGGTGTATAGCAGGGTAAGTGATGATATATTAACTGGTGTATAGCAGGGTAAGTGATGTTATATTAACTGGTGTATAGCAGGGTGTGATGTTATATTAACTGGTGTAAGCAGGGTAAGTGATGTTATATTAACTGGGTATAGCAGGGTAAGTGATGTTATATTAACTGGGTATAGCAGGGAAGGATGATATATTAACTGGTGTATAGCAGGGTAAGTGATGTTATTAACTGTGTATAGCAGGGTAAGTGATGTTATATTAACTGGTGTATAGCAGGGCAAGTGATGTTATATTAACTGGTGTTATGAGGGGGTATATACTGGTGTATAGCAGGGTAAGTGATGTTATATTAACTGTGTATAGCAGGGTAAGTGATGTTATATTAACTGGTGTATAGCAGGGTAAGTGATGATATATTAACTGGTGTATAGCAGGGTAAGTGATGTTATATTAACTGGTGTATAGCAGGGTATGATGTTATATTAAGAGGGAAGTGATGTTATATAACTGTATAGCAGGGTAAGTGATGATATATTAACTGTGTATAGCAGGGTAAGTGATGTTATATTAACTGGTGTATAGCAGGTATGATGATATATTAACTTGTATAGCAGGGTAAGTGATGATATATAAGGTGATAGAGGGTAGGATGTTATATTAACTGTGTATAGCAGGGTAAGTGATGATATATTAACTGTGTATGCAGGGTAAGTGATGAAACTGTGTATAGCAGGGTAAGTGATGATATTAACTGTGTGCAGGTAAGTGATGATATATTAACTGGTGTATAGCAGGGTGATGATATATTAACTGTGTATAGCAGGGTAAGTGTTATATTAACTGTATAGCAGGGTAAGTGATGATATATTAACTGTGTATAGCAGGGTAAGTGATGTTATATTAACTGGTGTATAGAGGGTATGTATTTGAAGTGATGTTATATTAACTGGTGTATAAGGGTAAGTGATGTTATATTAACTGGCAGGGTGGATGTATATTAACTGGTGTATAGCAGGGAAGTGATGATATATTAACTGGTGTATAGCAGGGTAAGATGTTATATTAACTGTGTATAGCAGGTAAGTGATGATATATTAACTGGTGTATAGCAGGGTAAGTGATGTTATATTAACTGTGATAGCAGGTAAGTGATGTTATATTAACTGTGTATAGCAGGGTAAGTGATGTTATATTAACTGGTTATAGGTGTTAATGGTGTCTGTGTGTTCCTCAGGCCAGGAGTATAACCTCGAGGGCACCATCTGTGATATATCGGCCCAGTTGGCACCGCCGAGCCATCTGGACACACCTCACGCCTTCTGTCAACCCGACCAGGAAGGAGACTTATGTATGTGACTATAAGGAAATATAGCAGTTATATATTAGTGAAGAGTTATGGATTGATGTAATGTGCCGGGAGAGAGGGTCACTCGTCATGTGGTGAAGGTCACAGTGTTATTGACCTAAGTTGACCTTGTATGGGTCATTATAGTGAAGAAACTCCGAAATATTGGTCAGTCAGGAGATTCTTTGTGTTTCTTTCAAGAGTGAGGTCATGATGCCAGCCCTGCCCTGGCCTCAGTGGTGGAGTGGAGGCCATGTAGGTTACGGAACCAAGGTTATGACTCGCCTTTCATATATTCGAGCACCGTAATGCAGAAATACCTTTCCACGTACTGAGGATTAACCCAAGACTCATAAGGTTTTCTGACTCGGGGCCCAAAGGCTTGGAAAACTTAAGGTGGGGAACTTAGGGCAGGGTATTCCCTTTGGCTGAAGCCCGCCGGTGGCTTCGGTCCGGTGAACTGGACTCTCGCTCACATATAGAAATATATTGATTTGATTTTCTATTAAGTGATGTCGATATTAATATGTAATGTATAGTATATAATTCTATCTCATGTAAGTGTCGAAGACTACAGTGCCTAAACCTCTTTCTTAAGGTGAACAAAATACAATACGATACAAGTTGTTACCTGACCAAGCCATCCAACTTAACAACGGTAGATAAGGTCATGTTTCTCCGCGCAGCCTTCATCAAGTGATTGAATATTTACTCCTGGATTACGAGGTCAAACATACATACATACATACATATACATACATACATACATACATACATACATACACAATTACAGGGACGTAAGAAAATGTGTACGTACTGATGGTCGCCTGGAAAACACACACACACACACACACACACACACACACACACACACACACACACACACACACACACACACACACACACACACACACACACACACACACACACACACACATTAATATTAACTCTTGATTTACTCCTGACAACTTTAATGAACATATTATTATCCTTGTATTTCTGAATCAAATCAAATTTATGAACTAAGAGTTTCCTGGATTTTATTGGCGGGAATGCGTCAAAACCACCAATCAAAACAAAGCTTCTCTCACATCAACAGTACAAACGTTTCTGTTACACTCCTGTTCGAAACTGTATCAAACCCGAACGAGACTTAGTAGGCTAACAAACAACTCGGAGACTCATTCCAGCAGTTCGAAGCCTCATGTGTGTATGTCGTAAGGGATGTCCATGATGTAAATATTGTCACCTTTTTTGTATGTCCAGAGTCTACCCTTATCAGAATCTCAGATTTTTACCTCTCAGAGTGTCAGATTTTACCTCTCGAGTCTCAGATTTAACCTCCGGAGTCTCAGATTTTACCTCTCGGAACCTCTGATTTAACCTCAGTCAGATTTAAGCTTTCAGTCTCAGATTTAACTCTGAGTCTCAGATTTAACCTCTCAGATATCAGATTTAACTTCTCGGAGTCCCAGATTTAACCTCTCGGAGTCTCATGTTTAACCTCTCAGTTTCATATTTAACCTCAGTCAGATTTAATGTCAGTTTCATATTTAACTCTCAGAGTCTCAGATTTAATCCTCTAGATTTAGTTTTAAATCATCTTGTCCACTAACCCTTCAATTGATGATAAAATTACCACTGTGATAATCTGAAGTATATGCCCTAAGTCTCTCATATATTTCTGATCTTATTCTTAGTATATTTATGTAAGTTATCCATTTTATTATTATTTTTTATCTCGTAAATGTTGTGGTTAGGAGCCAGTGAAAATACAGGTGGTTCATAATATCTGTTTGTGTATGATGGAGTTCACACCGACGTTATCAATTTCTAAGAGAGGAATACAGTGTGAGTCAGGATTAGTGTATGTTGTATTTTGAAATAATAAATATTTATAAATTTATTGTAAAACTTATCTTGTATGAGTATCTTAGATTAAGACTTATACACCCTGTATACAGTGAGTGTTCGGTTAACGTATAATATTATGTCCGGTTAATGTACAGGAACGCATCATGTAAACGTTAAGCGGACACTGACGGTACATGACAATAGTAGCAGATATCAGGACAGATGATCAAGGATCTAAATCCTGACTCGTAATCTAACCTAACCCAACCTAGCCTAATCTCACTTCCTAACCTAATCTAAACTAAGCTCTCCTACACTTAATCTAACCTAACGTAACGAACGTAACCTAACCTAACCCTATTTACCTTCAACCTAACCTAACCCTATCTACCAACCTAACCTAACCCTATCTACCCTCAACTTAACCCAACCCTATCTACCCTCAACCTAACCTAACCCTATCTACCTCAACCTAACCTAACCCTATCTACCAACCTAACCTAACCCTATCTACCCTCAACCTAACCTAACCTAACCCTATCTACCCAACCCAACCTAACCCATCTACCCAACCTAACTCTCTAACCTAACCAACTTCCCCCAACCTAACCAACCTAACCTATCTCCAACCTACCTAACCCTACCGAACCTAACCTAACCCTATACCCGAACCTAACCTAACCTAACCCATTTACCCTCAACCTAACCTAACCAACCATCTACTCAACCCAACCTAACCTAACCCTATCTACCCTCAACCTAACCTAACCCTATCTACCCTCAACCTAACCTAACCTAACCCCATTCTACCAAACCAACCTAACCTAACCTATCTACCAACCTAACCTAACCCTATCTACCCTCAAACTAACCTAACCTAACCCTATCTACCCTAACCTAATCCTATCTACCCTCAACTAATCCAACCTAACCCACTAACTCACTTAACCAGCGTTCAGGTCAGAATACCGGGTCATGGCGTTAGTGTGTCACAATGTTGTCACCAATAATAATATCAGGTAGCTAGTGTGACCTCTCATGTACACACACACACACACACACACACACACACACACACACACATATTGTACATACTAATTATTTATCTATGGTGTGACGTCAGAGATTATCACTTTATAAATAAAAGTCTATGTTTAAATTGTGTGTGTTTTATTCTACCTAATTAATGTGTTTAGTGTTATATTGGTGATTAACATGGTAGTTCCCACCTTTACCTGTGTTAATACCTGTTGTGTTATATTGGGTGATTAACATGTTAGTTCCCACCTTTACCTGTGCGTGGTGTTAATACCTGTTGTGTTATATTGGTGATTAACATGGTAGTTCCCTGTGCGTGGTGTTAATACCTGTTGTGTTATATTGGGTGATTAACATGGTAGTTCCCACCTTTACCTGTGCATGGTGTTAATACCTGTTGTGTTATATTGGGTGATTAACATAGTTCCCTTTTACCTGTGCGGTGTTAATACCTGTTGTGTTATATTGGTGATTAACATGGTAGTTCCCACCTTTACCTGTGCGTGGTGTTAATACCTGTTGTGTTATATTGGGTGATTAACATGTTAGTTCCCACCTTTACCTGTGCGTGGTGTTAATACCTGTTGTGTTATATTGGGTGATTAACATGGTAGTTCCACCTTTACCCGTGGTGTTAATACCTGTTGTGTTATATTGGGTGATTAACATGTTAGTTCCCACCTTTACCTGTGCGTGGTG